AATGAACCCTTTTGCTATGTTAAATCAAAACTAGGTAGGAGATGTACTCTCTGGATCGCTTTTTCTTTTAAAAAGGATTTAGCTCATCATCTGCCAAATAATCTTATCACTTTAAAAGTTACACTGATATAGACCACCGTAATGGAAAATTTCGTGCCTTAGTCATCCTCATTTTTTACTAAAGCTTTTTCCATATTACTAGCCACTTGCTCAAAGATAGGAGAGCAAACATATTACCCCTTTTAACTCACCGTCGCTATCCTGCGTCATTTTACCCGTTCAGTGTAGTCTGATTGCTGAAAAGGGCAAATTTAGGGAAATATGATGTATTAAGAAAAACGGACGAAGTGTCAGAGTAGAGAAGAAAAGCTGATAATACCCCGTACTGATAAGAACTCAACAAAAGCCAACCCAACTTTTGGCATAAGGTGATAAAAGTTACGAAGGTTAAAGATTAGGATATACACATGGAATACCTTGTCAAGTAGAGAGTCTAGCAAGTTTCCAAGAAAAAATGCAACAAATCGAGGTAAAAAGCAGAAGATTGTAATCAGAAGCTGCTACAAGGTTTTGAAAGAGTAAAAAGAAGGGAGCTGTCAGTGAAGCTGACAGCAAGAGCGAAGCAGACCTTCACAGCATGGACAGATAAGACGACGTTGCTGGCAGCCTTGTGATAAATACTAGCATGTGCATGACCATAAAATAATCAAGGAACATGTCCTGTTGGATTAGGGGAAGCAGGAACAGGGCATTTTCTAAATTTAAACTTCGAAAAGAGGATTGAATCCATTTGTTTGCTGGAGGTAAACACTGAAATGCATTAAATTTTAGGTAGAAAAAACACAAACGCTTGCAGACAGCTGTGGACACCTCCAACTTCAGCAGCGGAATGGTTGCAAAACATGTAAGTCAATCAAGTTGAGGTTGCTATCCGGACAGCGTCGTATTCGAGCTTGAATTCTTATCACACTTTGCGCTCATTGTGCTTGGACCGGCTGCTACAAACCATACCTATCGCGAAAACCATTTCTTGATCGTTTGTCTCACGTCTTGATGAGAAATGCTTGCTCAGGTTACGCCTACTACGAATTCTCACAATGTTCGTATCAGTTAAGACGCTGCACAGTAGCTACTTGTGAATCAGGGTTTAAGGGCTTAGCAAAATAGCGTCTATGAGAAGATAAACTACCAAGATAGTAAGTTATGTCAACAGGAGTTAGAACAAGCCAGAATACTTCTAAATGTATTGTACCACCTGATATAACATTTTCCAAGTATATCTTACTTAATACAATAGCGTACAACTGGATCGCGTTTCACAGCAAGAATATGCACAAGAATTTATTTTGCCAAATTTACGTATGTAACTCAAAATTCCCAGTGTTCTACTGTATTGACACTTCGTTTATTCTAGAGCATGCCTTTCTTACACTCCATTTCAAAGTCATCAGCTTCTTTACTTATCTACAAAACTTCCCTAAGATAACACATTAAGCAAAACTCATTTCGATGACTATACTTGCCTCATAATAATATAAGATAGACGACACTTGAATCTTTATTTCTGGTTATTTAGAAGTTTAATTTATAGCTTTGTACCTGAAAAAAAATCCTTTAAAAAGTTGCCATAACTAGTCTAAACATGCATAGGGG